TGACATCACTCCAAAGAATATATACATATAGAAATAGCCAATATACTTAATATTTATAACTAGGAAAATACATGTAGAAGTCATAACAAGGTAATGCTTCCCACTCATTAGAACAACTATAATAAAATAGATAGATAACAATAAGTATTTGCAAGGATACAGAGAAACTGGAACACTCACAAACTGCTGGCTAGAAATGTAAAATGACATAGTCACTTTAAAAACAGTCAGGCAAAATTTAATCCAGAATTTAATTTATAATCCACTAATTTCATTTCTAGGTATATAGCCAAGAAAAATAAAAATATATGTCACATAGTAACTTGTACTTGAAAGTTCACAGCAGCATAATGTATAATATTCAGAACCCACATGATTATCATCTGATGAGTAAATAAATAAAAAGGAGTGAACAGTTAAAAGGGAATGTTGTTCTACAGTAAAAGGAATGAAGTGCAGTTATAGGCTACCATGTGTACGAACTTTGAAAACATTAGGCTACATGGGAAAAGTCACTCATGAAATACCACATATTACATGAAGCCATTTATATGAAATGTCTAAAATAGGTAAAATCATACAGACAGAAGTAGACTAGTAGCTGTCTAATGCTGAGCTGAGGAGAAGTGGAAGGAAAGTGGAGACCACTAAAGGGCAATGGATTTCTCGGTGGAATAAAAATGTTAAATTGATTGCAGTACATAAAATCCATTGAATCACACACTTTAAATTAATGAATTTTATAGTGTACAAATTATATCTTAATAAAGCTGTTAAAAATAAATGCCCAACAAATAAGCTGCTACTGTTGTTTTAAAAAAATTTTTCTGAAGACAAATCAAAAAAGAAAAACAAATCCTTAACTTTCACTCATAGAAAGACTTATGAAGAAAAATTACCCATGAACAGAACCTGGAAGAAAGAATAAGACATTCTACACTGATAATGATAAAAAAAAAAAAAATCTGAAAACTGGAAAGAAGGCAGATTGGACTGGCTACTGACTTCAGAACTTTAAGAATGGCGATGAAGAGAGACTATGAAATCCCACATGTGTTGGGCAAAGGTAAAACGATTTAAAAATCTTTCTCTCTGGTGAAAAGATTGGGAAATGGGAAGCATAACAGAGATCACACAAGGAGTTTCAACCCTAGCTCCTCAACTGAGGTATCAGTTGGTCAATCTACCTTTGCCAGTATCTTCAAAGTACTTGTGCACACCAACCCAGCTTGTGTTCAACAACCAGCTGTGTTGTAGTAGCAGAAAAAAAAAAGCCCTAGTAAGCAGTGACAAATCTACTTGACCCCTGCTCAGCACTGAAAGCACCAGCAAGTGGTCAGATCTACCTGCCTCAGCCACATCTGGGGTCTCCTGGCCCTTTAGCCAGAGGCATAGAGTATCTGAGCCATAGAGAAGTGGTGCATTACCTATAGTAGAACACAAATTTGAGCTGACAGGGAATTTCTCACCTAAAATTATGCAGGCCTAAGGAAGTAGCATAATACTTCCTAGTGCTGAAAGAAAACAACTGTCAACCAAATCCTATATCCCTAAAAAACTACCCGTTAGGAATGAAGGCAACATAAAATTCTCATACAATGGAAAACTAAGAAATTTGTTGCTAGCACTCTTACATATTAAATGATGTACAAAAAGAAGCCCCTGAAACAAAGAAAATAAAGAAGGCTGAGACATTCTGAAAGGAAAGAACAATGTAATGGACAAAACTCAGGTAAGGACAACAGACTATCCTTTCCCTCTATGAATTTCATTAATCAAATTTGGTGGTTGAAATGAAAATTTTCAGACAATTTAAAATGCTGCTCAATAAACATAGAATAGTTAAATCTTCCTATAAGCCATAGAATATTCTTTTAAGGGTGAATTAAGACTCAGCTATAATAAAGCATACCAAGAAGTACAACTCAGCAATAAAAAGGAATAAACTACAAAAACATGTAACAAATTGAATAAATCTTATGGAAACTATGTTGAATGAAAGCTAGGTATGGTCCACTTATTAATCATTCTTGAAAATGACAAAATTTAAGGGTACAACCTACTAGGAATTGTCAAAGGATTAAGGACTGAGGTAAAAGGAATAAGCATGGTTATAAAAGGGTAACCCAGAGGAGTCTTATGGTGATACAGTACCTCAATATTTATGATAGTTACAAACACCACACATATGTGCATTTATTATTTGTAAAGTCTTAATAAACTGGTATGTGATTGATGAGGAACAACTGGTTTTCTTTGGGGTGTGAGTAGTATAAAAATAATTTAATAAAACCATGATCATCCAAACCTGAGCAGGCTTCCTTCCTTCCTTGGACATCATCATACATCTCACACGACTCCACTACAAGACAGCATTTAGGGGCCTATGCCTAGATTACACAAAATTTATTCAATGTGTCTCACCCTTCACAGATTTTATTCAATATCCTTTTATGCCATGCCCTACATGTTAAGAACAACAGGTTTTGAGTTCTATGAGCCCTCTAACAAATCATCAAGGCCAAGGTGATCATAGGGTGTTCTTAAATACCTTCTGTGGAGGGCAGGGATTGTTTGGATTTTACTACTCTCTGTTTACTTTCCCACATTTGGCAGAGTTTAAAGCACCTGGCCAATTCCCATAGATTTGTTACTAACACAATCTGATCTGGCCAATTATGACCCAGCAGCCAATGAAACCAAAATGTCAAGCAGAGAAATGCACATCTAAGATATGTTTAACAATCATATTTCATCAGTCCACTAGCAGTGCATAGGGTCATGTCAGGAACTGCCAAATAGTTGAGAATGTGGCAAAAGAGACTAGTCATTTTATATACCACCACATCCAAGCTTCCAAAGGTGTAGGACGTTGGTTCCCAGCAGTTTTCTTTGCAAATTCTTCTATCACTACCCTACCAGGAACTATATGCAATGATTGATACAAAGATAAAAATCTGTCACATGGCTGTAGGAGAGCTTCTCTACCAGCATCTCTGAGCTAGGATATGGGAGACAATGCTGCAGAAAATTTAGTGGCAACATCAGAAAACGGTTTTAAAATAAAAAGTAAATGTATAATGAATTCTCTATAAAATTCACTCTCATTCACTTGGACTTTGGTAAACTTTCTTGAGTAGGAAAGAGCTGAGGCATACTGTAGGCCAGAAACTGCACATAACGACAACCATACCACAATGTGTCAAGTATGAAATGACTGTTAATTTTTTTAATGTATTTAGTACAGGGTCTAGAGGGTGTCACTATACAGATCAGACTTGTAGTGATCCTCCTGTTTTCAGCTTCCCAAAAGCTGGGATTACAGGAGTGCACCACCACACCCAGTCTCAATTGCAGTCTCAGTGCATCCTCAGGCGGGGCCAACACAGTGCACCAGAGATCAAACTCCAGTCCCTGTGTCTGCCTAAGCAGGCACTTTAATCCACTGAGCTATCTGGCCAGTCTCTATGACTGTTAAAATTGATGATTTTGTTAGCTGTGTACCTACAAAATGCTTTGCTTCTCTCTGTTTCCTATTGCTCCATACCTCAAAGGGCGTAACCTATTACTGTGCTTTCTAAGAAAAGGCTTTGAAGATTCATTGCCGGAAAGTGGTTCACACATGTTAAATGTTATGTCGATGATAACATGATGGTCTTTAAGTGGCTCACAGTCACAGTACTGGGTAATATGAAGTTAGAATATCCCTAATTTACTATTTCTTTTCTTTTTTAGGTACTGGAGATCAAACCCAGTATCTTTTTACTGAGTTACATCTCCAATCTTTTCTCTATTATTGTGAGAGCCCCCCAAGACACTAGGCTACCCAGGCAGGACTCATACTTGGGATCCTTCTGCCTCAGCCTCCCATAGTGCTGGGATTACAGTCATATGCCACAATACCTGGCTTTACCATTTCTTCAAGTAAAACTGAATATTTCAAATTTGTACAGACTGCATATTTGGATTGCACTATAGGCTTAAGACAGGTCAAATCATTATCCTGTGAGATTTAATAGGCGAATGAATATTTTCTATTACATATTAACACAAAGACTTTATGTTTTGAGAAAATCATAACATTTTATGGACAAGTTTCTTACACAGATTCTCATCTATAAATTACTTAGGCTTATTACATCTTTTGTTGGAGATGAACAGCAGTTAGTGAAGTAGTGCAATAGGACTGAATGGACCTGCTGGCTTTCCCTTTCTCTTATTAAAAGCAGCATTCCTTGGGGTGTGTTTGTGTGTAGATACATATATACTTTTTAAAATAAAAGGAGCATGTAAGTTTGTAAGCATACCCACTGTAAATGCTGTGGCCTTTCTTATTAAATGCATGTTAACTGCTTGGAATCCCAGGCACACATTTAAATTCATTTCTTTTCTCCTCAGGCAGTTTCCATAACCCACTGCATTTTCACTTTAACAGTCCTCATTACTAGTATCATTTCATACTTGAGAGTTTGCTCAAGTTGACATCAATCTTGCCAATCCCACAAACATTTATTTTGTTGACATAATAGTCTAAATTCACAGATACTAAACATAAAAATTTAAAACCATTTCCTACCTGACATGTCTCCAAGTGATAAGAACAACTGTATCAGTGACTCTGCTACTATGTACTGTCACAGTGACACAGCATGGGAGAGACATGAACAACAGGGCAGTTTATGGAATTCTACTCACTTCAATAGCATATTATCCATCTTCTTGCTGCCCAGATGCTCTGTAACTTCTCTAAAATATGTGATACCCTAAGTCACCTATTCTGGAGAATATGCTTACCCAAAAGACATCTTAGACACCTTGGATTCCTATTTCCTCAATAATAAGAAGCTCTTTACCACAAATAACTCCTCATAAATCAGAAAAGGGGCAAGTTCTTCCCTCAGAAAGAGTGAAGAAACTCCACTTCAGCATAAAATTTCCTCTTCAGTTAAGCTCTAAATGTCTTTAGATGAGTTTAAATGAAGAAATACAGTATCTCTTACCTGATTGGAGAACCTCATGCTTACATTACGCTGATTCTGCAGTGGGACATAGCGTTGAACAGGATCAATGTCTTTAGGACTGATTAATTCATCCGCTGGAAGAAAAAAGTAACACAAGTAACATAAATATAGGCAGCTAAGTTATATAGAAATTAATATACAGTCAAGGCCTAGGCTGTCAAGGAAGTGAGCAGAAAAGACATCAAAATTGTTGCAGAAGTGCATCTGAAGAAGAGCAGGGCTCAAGGTAAAGATATAATGGATCAAGCCTATGCACCTCTGTAAGGGATAAGCAGTAACTTGGAACTATACTGTAATTAGCATAACTAGACAGATACCAGTGACCCGGTACATGATCAGAGCATCTAGACTCATTCCTTCTCCAAAATGCCTTTGGTGTTTCCATGCATCCTTGGTGTGACTTGCTTCTCTATGGACCAACATTAGCTAAGTAGCTATACATAAGTTGATGGCAGTTTGATCCATGTTATACCCACATCATGACTTTGCTGTACAAATTACCCCTGATAAAGGACCTCAGTGGCAACTCAGTGTTGGGTCCCCTCTTGGCTCTCAGAAGCAATCTCAATAAGTTTTTCCTACTCTTACCCTCTGTTGTCACTTAGAATTTATTCTTCAATTCTGAGGTACACAAAGCCAGTGTATCTGACATTCAGTAGATTGGGATTTTACATTTTCCCCCCATATCAATATTATCAGAAATTTAGTTTTATAAAAACTGTAAAGCAACTATAGCAAAGTGGTATCTTGGCTTACAAACTGAATTTGTTTTAGCATTTTGTCAAAGAGGGCTACATTTGTGTGGGAAACATGGCTGTGGTGATGTTTGCCACCTAATGTGGAATTTGTGAAAGGAAGGAAAATTTTGCTTAACACTTTTGTATGTAAATTGAATTGTTTGCAAATAGAAAATTCATACCATATTTATAAGAGACAGCTATAGAACAGTTACTGAACAACAGAAGAGTATCCAAATTTCTCAGGACATACAGAACACCCTTTGGGATATAAATTGGTCAGTCATAAAATAAGCTTAAATAAATATAAAAGACCTGAGAGTGGTAGTGCCTGCCTACAATTCCAGCACTCAGGAGGTAAAGGCAGGAGGTTTCTGGCAAGTTTGAGGCCAGCTTGGGCTACAACGTGAGTTTAAGACTAGCCTGAACTGCAGAGGGAGACCCTATCTCAAGAAACAAAGAAACGGGCTGCGGAGATAGCTCAGTAGAATAAGTGCTTGAGTTCAATCCCTGGTTGCACCAAAAAAAAAAGAAACAAAGAAACAAAGAAACAAATATATATATATATATTTGTCTCTCTCTATATATGAAATACTAAAAATGTTTGTTCTCTCATCACAGAACAAAATGAGAAATCATGATAGGAATTTTAAAAGTTTACAAACACACAGAAATTTAAAAAACACTTTCACATACCAAGGGATTAAATAAGAAAAACAGAAATTAGGCAATATTTTTGTGGGTAGGGGTAGGGGCTCAATGATAGAGTGCTTGTCTAGCACATATGTAGCCCTGGGATTAATTTCCAGCTCTCCAAAAAGAAAAAAAAAACTAATGTACTTTTGATGAGATGAATAAAAATAAAGATAAAATACAGCAAAACTTACAGGATATAAAGTAACACTCATAGGAAAATTTTAGCTGCAAATGCTCACATGAACTAAATGGAGTAAACAAATTCCTGGAAAATAAAAACTATCAGAGTGGAATTTAGAAGAAACAAAATCTGAATAGATCTGTAATAAGGAGAATATGGGTTAAACACATGTGCCCACATGCACACAAAAGGCTTAGAACCAGATAATTTCATTGATGAATTACACTAGAAGTTAAGGAAAAATTACAAAATTTTTGGACAAATAAAATAAGGAACATGTCTTAGCATATCCTAAGAGGCAAGTATTTCTCTAGTATCAAAATCAAAATATCACAAGAAATAAAGTGAAATCCTTTATGAATACAGACACAAAATTTTTAAAGAAAACTATCAACAAAAGAAAGCTAGTAACATAGAAAAGGATCAGACACCATGACTAAAGAAGATTTAGCCCACAAATATAAGGACGACTTAATGTTTAAAAGTCAATTATTGTAGTGTAACATATCAATTGAAAAAAGGACAAGAACTTTTATTTTCATTCAACAGACATATAAAAATTAGATAGATAAAAATGTCTATTTGCACCAAAAAATCATTAAACTAGAAATAGAAGAGAACTTCCTCAGTGTGATAGAGGGCACAGCTATGAAAAATCTACAGCTAATATCATGTTCAATGGTGCAAGAATGAATGCCCTTCATCAAAGATCGGGAACAAGGCATGGAAGTTCACTTTCACCACTTCTTCTCTATATTATATTTAGGGCTCCAAACAAGGAAGTTAGGCAAGAAAAAAATAGCAAAAGGGAGTAGACTGACAAGGAAGAAGCTACCTTAATTGAGACAGTATGTTCTTAGCACAAGGATAGATTAGGTAGGATTCATCCCAGGGATGCAAGGATGGTTCAATATTTGAAAATCTATAAATGTAATATACTATATCAATAGAGTGAAATCTAAAAACCCCATGATCATTTTAATTGATGCAGAAAAGGCTTTTGACAAAGTCTAACACTCTTCATGTTCAAAGTCCTACAGAAAACTGGAATAGAAGGACTCTACTTCAATTTGATAAAAGCCATCTAGGACAACCCAACAGCTAAAATATAATTCTAAATGGGGAAAAAACTAAAGTGTTTTACTCTCAGATCTTGTACAAGACAAGGATGTCCTCTATCACCCCTCCTATTCAACATAGTTCTGGAATCATAAGCTAGAGCCATTAGACCAGAGGGAAAAATAAAAGGAAAAAGAACAGGTAAAGAAGAAGTTAAATTATCATTATTTGCAGATGACAAGACACTTTACTTGGAAGACCCAAAAAACTCCAGCAAGAAGCTACTAGAATTGATACACAAATTCAGTAGCATAGCAGGATCAAAGTCAATACTCAAAAGTCAATAGCATTCCTCTACACAGATAACAAACACACTGAGAGGGAAATTATAGAAAGAATACCTTTTACAATAGCACCAAGAAAATGAAATACCTTGGAATTCATCTAACTAAAGAAGTCAAAGATCTTTTCACGGAAAATTACAGTACTCTGAAAAAAGAGATTGCAGAGGATTTCAAAAAATGGAAAGATATTCCATGCTCCTGGATAGGAAGAACCAACATCGTGAAGATGGACATACTCCCAAAATTGTTGTACAGATTTAATGCAATACCTATCAGACTACAACCAACATACCTCTCAGACTTAGAGAAATCATTCCTAAAATTTATTTGGAACCAGAAAAGACCTAGAATAACAAAGGCAATCCTGGGCAACAAAGACAAGGAAGGAGGCATTACAATTCTAGACTTGAAATTATACTCAAAGCTACTGTGATAAAATCAGCATAGTATTGGCAACAAAACTGACCTGAGGATCAATGGAATAGATTAAGATGCAGAGGTCTCTACTAACACACTCAGCCACTGGATCTTTGACAAAGGGGCCACACACACTTACTGGAAGAAAGATAGCCTCTTTAACAAATGGTGCTGGAATAATTGGCTCTCTACATGCCAAAAACTAAAATTTGACCAAGGTCTATCACCATGCACTAAGCTAAGGTCAAAATGGATTAAAGATCTAAACATTAAAACAGAAACACTAAATCTCCTGGAAGAGAAAGTAGAAGGAACTCTTGAAGACATAGGAGTAGGCAAAGTGTTTATGAACAAAAATCAAATAGAATGGGTAATACTTGAAAGAATTAACAACTGGGACCTCCTCCTATTGAGAAGTTTTTGCATGCCAAAAGAAATTACCAACAGAGTGAAAAGACAACCCACAAATTTGGGAAAAAAATTAACTCATAAGTACTCCAACAAAGGTCTTCTCTCAAAAGCTTAGAAAGAACTAAAAAACATTAGGGTCCTCGAAATTTAAAGATCCAATCCAGAAATGAGCATCTGAGATGAACACACACTTCTCAGAGGATGAAATTCTAGATGCTAATAAATACAAATGTGCTTCCTAATACTAAATTCTAAAAGAGATTTCTGAAAGGAGGTATTTTCATCAGGCACCAATTTTCATAGGGGTTATGTCCTCAAATGCTACCATACTGTAAATGTAGAAACCCTTTTCATATAGTTCCTTGTCACAACTTTTGATAAAAACTCAAGGATATAACAAGGAAAGCAATTTACAGTGGGAGGGAGGGGGCAGAAGGCCTTAGGTCAGTGGGTAATGAACCAGTGGATGCGCCTCAGCACATGAGGCTTATCCTAGCTTGGTTTTGCACAGGCCTTTCTGGAGGGGAAGATGTCATGGAAGATAATAGTGGGAAAGTTTCTCTGACGGGTAATTGTGCAGTTTCCCAGAAAGGCAACTTGGTAGTATCTGAACAAACATACAAGAGCATACTCTTCAACCCAGCAACTTTTTTTTTTTTTTTTTTTTTTTTTTTAACCAGGATCAAACTCAGGACCTTGCATTTGCCAAGCAAGCCAACCCTGCAACTTGACATCCATGCAGTTACTTTAGTTCTACTCACTCATGTTCACATAGACTAACAGCAACAAAAATAAATTTAACTTCCACTAAAATTAGCTGTAGAACTTACACATTTTTAATGCACTTAAGTTCTGAAAATGGGACCATTTCATTCTCAATCTTTAGTTCTATATTGTTTATGTAGAAATACAAACATTTTGAGTTCTGTATAAATGTATCTATGTATAATCCTTATTTTTTTTAAATTACAGTTCATTTTCCATGGATTTTTAATACTGCTTTTAGGCAGTATTTTGTATGAAAAACAGATGAGGAAGTCAATAACTGTACACTCCTTTGCAGTTTTGGGAATATTCATAGATTACATTTTATTCTGGGGTATCTTTCAAGTACATCTGTAAAGTTATCTAACAAAGTCATCAAAACATGCTTTAGTAACTCCTAGAGAATATTTTAAATAATAATGTAAGTAGTATTAACAGAATAATAAGAAAAAGTGAGAGGAGGA